ACCCCCCCACACCGCCTTCCTTTCAGCTAGTTGTTCGCAAGTGACTCAGAGCTGCCTTCATGCCGGCTGGTGCTCATTTAGGGAAGGAAAATTCAGTGGCCCACATGAAAATTGCTTTATTAAAGTGCAAAAATATTCCACCGACTGTATTCCCACCATCTGTTTTGCTCGTAATTCTTCTGAAAAGCACAGTTCTCTGTGCCTCCTTGGCCTTTGTCCTTTAAAAGCTGCCAGAGGGCTGTGGCTGGTTAATGGGGCCACCTCTGCTCGCAGACCCACAGGCCTGGCACACAGGCAACTTAAAGGCTGCCCCGTGCAGTGTCTGGGAGGAGGGGGAACCCTGGCTGTGCAGCTGCGTGAAGATCTGCAATGTCTGGGGCAGAGGGAATAGCCGAGCCTGGGCACTGGAGCCTGGTTTCCAGTCCTAGCTCAGATCCCTGCAAGTCGCTTTACCTTGCCAAGCCTCAATGTCTACGTCTGGAGAGTGGGGATAAAACGCCCACCTTGCAGAGTAGTTGGGAGCGTGCAAGTCGGCCATACATGCTAAGGCTCCAAAGTCCCTCCCAGTCTCCTCTCCTACCCACCCCACCTAATACACATTCTCACACTCCGCTTCCACCACTGTGAACTTCTCCAGGACCGTCCAACACACAGGCGCTTACCACACCTCATGTCTTTCCCCACGCTGCACCCTCCCCCTGGCACGCTCCTTCCTCCCCTTCTCTGCCCCACAAACTTTTACACTTCTACAACACCCAATTGAAATGACTTTTAACACCCACCTCTCTCGCCAAATGGTACCAAAGCTGTGGCTGCACTTTCCCAGCTTATTATAACATAATCACTATGCTCATTGCCTGCCCAGGACTCAGCTCCTCCAGGATGGGGCCAGGGCCTGTCTCCTTCCTGCTGAACCCCAGGCCCCTGTATAATGCTCTGCTGTGGGGGACTGGGCATGGGGGTAGGCTGGCCAGTAGAACAGGGTGTGTCAGGTATGGGCTTTGGGATCAGATGTCCCCTAGCTGGGTAACTGTGCAATTCACTTCACTTCTCCAAGTCTCGCACCGATGTGCTAGCACCAAGAGTCACCTGGTATAGTTTGGGGTGTGAATTTTCTGTATTATTGCCAACAAGTGAAAGCCCTTTGGGAACTGGAGGGTGTCCCCCATGTCTAAGAGATGATGAGGAGATGCTGAGGGTGACATTCCAGGGAAGAACTGTCCTTCCCGGAAGTGCTAGAGCTTAGGTCACACCCCCATCTTACAGATAGAAAAACTGAGGTTCCAAGAGAGCACCCAAGTCAGCAAAATAGTCATCGGCAGAGGAGCAAGTCCTACTGAGATGTGTTCTATTGGCTCCTCATCTCAGAGTCCCCC